ACATAGGACAGGAGGACAGTGGACACATAGGACAGGAGGACAGTGGGAGATAGGACAGGAGGACAGTGGGAGATGGGACAGGAGGACAGTGGGAGATGGGACAGGAGGACAGTGGGAGATAGCAGAGGAGGACAGTGAGCAAATAGGCTGGTCAGAAGGGGCTCCAAGACCCTTTTGTTTGGATTTAACTGTGTGGAAAGGAAAACTACAGTGTGGTTCAACACAAAACACATAAATTTGTATTTGAAATTTATGGGAGTAAACACCCTGCACTAGAGCTTGGAGGAGTAACAAAGGCCATTGTTGGAAGCTTGAAGTTAAAGTCTAGTGTAGCACAATGTAAAGCAAGCACATACAGTAGCAAGTTTAGAATTGCGGGACAGACCATAGTTTTATTATGAGACTGATGGCTGAGAAAGAGATAGATGTGGAATGTTGGGTTTCAGGTTTTTCTCACTATGTGGGAAATAGAGAAAACATTTGGTGATGTATCAGTGTGGGGTTAGAACTCCTTGTACATGCTAACCGTATGGGTGCCAGTGCTACAGCCATTCTGTAATTTGTGAATGAAGTTAATATCAAGGATGTAGAGAAATATGTTGGTTCTAATCACTGTTTCTATTAAACGTCATAAAAAGAGCCTGGACACCACCAACACAGTATTTACTATCTTTTAAAAAAGCTGCAAAACCTAAAACCATAGAAATTCTTTTTTCTTTCTTTCTTTGCTTTTATTGAAAATCATACAATATATTCTGATTGTGGTTTCTCCTCCCCCATCTCCTTCCAGATCCTCCCCTCCTCCCCACTCATCCAACTCTTACTTTCTTTCTCTCTCTGTCTTTAGAAAACAAATAGGAAAATTTAAGAATAAAAAAAAAACAGGAAACAAAAAAGCATAATAAACACAAAACATAAAAACACAAAATTTGGAACCATATAGATAAGCAAAAGACTGTAGAGTAAAAAATTGCACAAACAAAGCGACATGAGACCAAAAAAAAAAAAATCCACAGAAACACCATTGAGCCCGTTTTGTGGTCGTCACTGCTGATCATGGAGCCTTAAGTGTGATTTGTATACCCAGGGAAACTCTGGGAGAGAAATTAATTTTTCCTTTGTGAGCAGTTGTCAGTTGGAGATGGAGTCTTGGTACGGGTGGGAGAGCGTGTCCACTTCCCCGTCTCATGCTGGGAACCCATCTGGCTCGAGCCTGTGCAGTCTCTGTGAGTTCATATGTGGGCCAGCCTTGCTGTGTCTGGAAGACACTGATCTGGTGCCAGTCATCCCCTCTGGCTCCTAAGCTTCCTTCCTCTGAAACCATAGAAGTTCTTACTCATTTTAATAGCATACATTTTTGAGATAAGTAAAAGCACACCTTATTTGTTTGTTTTGAACTCATCGTTAACCTTTGTGATTGCTTGACCGTAGCCTTTTAATCCCTGTATTCCAAGTTTTCCTTTTCAGTTTCTAGATTTGATGTGGTATGAAAATGTAAGCACTAGCTCTCAATCCTAGAACCAAATTTGATGGAAATCCGGTAATATTTCCTGTAATATTGTTGCAGGCTGCTCGTTACTACTCTTGTATGAACACTTCCAGCCAAGTGAGTAGGCAGGCTCTTGACAGCGGCAATAAGCAAATCTTGCTTAGGTTATTGACTATTTAAGGAATAAAATTTAAATTATTATTTATTAGTAGATATTAAACCCAGCTTTCCTCTCTTGGGCTGAAAAGTTTAGCGATAAGGAAGGTATTGTTTACTTAGCATTTTTAATGCATATAAATAAAGCATTTGCAGCGTCTCTGCCTCCAGAGGACACATGGCTCAAGAAGAGCGCTGGACTATGAGTCCTGATGCCCGGCTTTCGATTGCATCACTGGTATGAACTGGCAGCATAACCTTGCAGATTTGTATCACCCACGGTGTTAGCCACCTTATTTCTGAAATTAGTAACCCTATTAGCGCTTATTTTATTATCCTACTACTAATTCCTCCTAATTTTGATATGTGAACATTATTTGGAGGCATGTCATCTTTTGTAATTTAATTGGTGAACTTGCTCTCCAATGCTGCGGTACTTCGGATCGTATTTACCTCTTTTGAATCAACACACACGTTTTGAAGATGTGTAGTGCTTCTCTTCAGAGCAGAGTTTGGCCTACTCTGTAAATGTGTTCAGAAAACAATATAACACAGATATTGAAGGCAGCTTGTTTTCAACTTGTAGCTAAACATGACATTCAAATGTTAATTGGATGAATAAATCTTGTTCATTTTACAGACATGGAAATGTCAATGGAATAAAACTATTTATCACAAGATAATGGTCTCCTGCTGCCAGATAAATGCCAAGATGAAGATAGTTATTGAATATGTATCAAAATATTCCAGTGCTATTTATTGAAAATAAAGGTTGAGGGAAAGTTCAACTTTTCAGGTCAGACATAAGAAATGCCCTGCTTATGCCATTTGTACACCGCTGCATCAAAGGCTGTGTGTGTGGTGTGGAAACATGGGACGGGCTAGGAAGAACAGTTCAGACTGGATCTGTTAGCTTTGAGGATTACAGAGTAGGGGCTGGGAGGTGCCGAGTATTTACTGAGCATTTTCTGTTTTCCTAACACAGTCCTGTGAAGGATCACTCATGTACACTTCATGAGAACAAACTCCTGCAAGGATTGTTGTACTCCATTATAGGAAAAGTAACTGAGTCTCAAGAAGCAAAGATTTATAAAGTAAGGTAACTGAGATACACCCAGAGCAACTGCTGACCTCACGTTTAAACGTGGCCCAGATTCTAAACCTGCTACTTCCCCTCACATCCTCCATCTCTTCTTGGACTCTGAGTCTGTACACTACCGTGAGCTTTAGTTTTTTTGAGCAGAGTATTTATTTACCTGAGTTGTATTGCACTCCTTTGAGCCCAGTAATTCAACATATGGTGTGTTCTCTTCAGACAAAATTGGGCATTTGTCTAAGGAGAAGACCTATCTGCTGTCTTGAGACCTTGACCGCTGTGAATGGCCAGAGTAATACTAGGTCCTAGCGTCTGGACACCCTTCCTGCAGTGTATCTTGAAAATCTTTGAAACACTCTCTTTCTTCTTCTGAGTTTGAACTTAGCCACCTACTTTCCCTCTTATCTGTGTGCATTATAAGCGCCATGTTGGTCTTTACAAAACACTTTGAATGGGCATCAAGTTCAGAGAGAGAACTGAAAGTTCCTAAGTGACTTTATTATTATTACTCGCTGACGTTCCTGGCTGATCTCTGTGTGCTAGCCTCTTGACATTCTCCTCAGCAGTCACCCCTCTCTCACTACCACTGACACTGCCTGCCAGTGTCTCTGTCCTCTGTCCCCTCCAACACTATCTAGATATCCTCCGACAGGAACCTCTTTTTATTTAGTATTTTAAGATATTAATATACTTTTCATGGTTTCCGCAGTAAATGATAAGCTATTCACTGCAAGAAATTATATTTTCCTTACTCTTTGTCTCCTTGATGTGCAGTATAGTGATTTGAACATTATGTTATTCAACAAGAGGGTAAAAAGGCATGGGTGTGGTTTCTTCGAGGGCCAGAGGAATCATGAGGACTCCAACAGCATCCATAGCGAACTTCTAGCGATAAAAGTGTCCGTTTCCTGGACTTTCCTTATGCTCGTATCTGTCACTTATCTCTGAAACATTCACCTTTTATTTATTTTGTAACCTTCCCAAGGGTAATGAATAGACAGAGTCTTAGTTGCTGTGTGTATACAAAGGAGAGAAGCTTCGACATTTACTCTTCCCCAGTAGGTGAGTAGCCATTTACACAGACGTCTGGTGTGTAAGTGTGTGTAAACCCGTAGAGATTTTTCAGGAAGTCAGGATACTCGACACTTTAGAGCAACTCCAAGCACCATCGTATTTCATGGGTCACTAACACAGTCTTTCTTGATGAACCTTCACAGATGGGAGACCGTTAGTTCTGAAGGATATATGGGAAGGAGTCCACGACTGCTACAAGACACGACTGCTGCAGGGACCATGGGACACCATTACCCAGCAGGTCAGAGTCTTTTCCCTTTAGCAGATGCGGTTCCTTACCTTTGCTCACTTCTTCAGCTAGTTCCCTGTTTCAGTCCTCCACATCCTCCCCAGGCTTGGTTATTCTCCTTATTATAAGGGTGTTTCATAACACCCTATACATTTTCTTTTATGAGGCTGATTATAATTTTGAATTATACATTTGGGTGCTTTTCTTTATAAAATAATGTTGTGACCTCCATTATGAGCAGACCATGTCTGGTTTTTTGTTTTACTCCTAATCGTATTCCCCGGACCAGCATAGTACTTAGCGTGTACTAGGTGGCCAACAGAAATTTGCTTCGTATGTGAAATAGAATCTGTTTAGGATGCACATTCAGAAGCAGGAGCCTCCAGCACCCCAGAGGCAGAGGCAAGAGGATCTTAGTAAGTTTGAGACCAGCCAGGGTTACATAATGAAAACCTCTCTCAAAGAGGAAGAAAAGGAGAAACGGGTGGGAGGGAAGGAGGAAGGAAAGAAAAGACGGGGAGGGGGGGACAAACTAAACTAGCCTGCAGGGAAGCTCTCTGGAGAGATGACTCAGTAAAGTGCTCTGCAAGCATAAAATCTTGAATCTGCACCTCCAGCATCTTGTACCCCAGTGTTGCAGGGGAGATAGGCAGGTCCTAGAGCTCTGAATCACATGTGTACACACAGCGAGGCAGAGACCGAACACCCAGAAACGTGTACCTTTGACAGAGAAAATGTTTGCTTTTCGGTGTCAAGGAAGATAACAAAGGGTGTAGGAAGATGCAAAATCATATGCAAAATATGTGTCTTCAATTTTCTTTGTCTTTTTTTCATTCAAGGTCTTACTGTGTAGCCTGACTGACCTAGACACATAGGTGCTGTAGCTTTGGTTGTCCATAATTACCTCTCAGTTTTACTTGTAGGTGCGTTTGCAAAAGAAAATGTGAACTCTTGATTAGTAATAGATTAGCAATATGCAAAAGATGAAAATAGATCTACAAAAGGAGATATAAAAAGCAAATTTGCAAAAGTATAGAAAACAGGTCTGTCAATCATGCTGTTACCGCTCTCTTAATAAAATGGTAGTTAATTATTTTAGAAATTTAAAAATACTTATCACTTTGCAAACATGATCCCTTTTTTTTTTTTCAAGACAGGGTTTCTCTGTAGCTTTGGAGCCTGTTCTGGAACTAGCTCTTGTAGACCAGGCTGGTTTTGAACTCACAAAGATCTGCCTGCCTCTGCCTCCCAAGTGCTGGGATTAAAGGTGTACACCACCACCGCCTAGCCATCATGATCTTTAAAGTAATTTTTACTTATACAAAAATATTTCTCTAAGTCTCTGTTAGCTTAAGAAAAGCTTCCTTTAAATAAAAATGGTTTTAACAGTCAATAGACTATACCCTCAGGTGGCTCTGATTACAATTATGGCGGCTTACATAACTGTCAACATAAGTAGTTCTTGGGCATGGCTGCGGGTGACTCCTCTCTCTCAAACTACATCAGTTCCCTCTGCATTCCGGGGTCTGTAGGCTGGGTACAAGTGTGGTTACTGTGAGTACAGTATTTGATCAATAAGCAGGACAGCTGCATGGGGCTGGTGCGATGGCTTAGTGTGTAAAGTGCTTACGGCACAAGCCTGGCAGTCTGAGGTTGATTCCCCAGCACTAGTGAAAGGTGGAAGGAGAGAACCAGCTCTACAAAGCTGTCTGTGAATCACACATGCGTGTCACGGTGTGTGCATCTGTGCTCACGCACAAATAATAACAATTTAAAATAACTACACGGGTTTGGAGCAAGACCATCTTGTTAATGAAAACTGATTTGTATTAATTTTGAGTATGTCAAAGTGAAGGCTGTTTCAACTTTGAGTATTGTCAGTGACCATACACTGCCAGAAATGTACATGATTGAGTCAGAATCCACAGGACAGAGAAAATGTTTGTTTTTAAGTGTCAAGAAATTGTATAATTTTGAATTTTTAATTCCACATGTCCCTATGACAGCTTGTGACATAGGAATAGAATTTTTAATTCAACCACTTTTTCTTTGATTTCCTAACCCATTGTTACCAATAGATTCCTTTCCATTATTGGAATATCTAAGATACTTACACAATCAAATGAACCAGTCTATACACCTTCGTAGGAGTGGTCGAGTTTTAATTGTAGACATTTGAATGTCCCTCTTCCCACTTGTCCTAACGCTGTCGTGTTACACATCTGATTACAGCAAGCGTTGTTATTTCTAACATGGGACTCACTTAATAGATATTTTGTGTGCCCAACTATAAAATTTAGCTGGAGTTTTGTGATTTCTTTTATTGGGATTTTGACTGTGGGTAGCTTAAATAGCTTGTCCTGATAACACTCCTAGTAAAATCTTCAATTAATACTTAGAGTCACTTAACAAAGTACCTGCCTAAGAAGTCAAGGCTAAGCAAGAACACTTCATTTGTAGCCATGGCACCATTTGGCATTTGAAGGATGTTATATGTATTTTCTTTGAAGATCTTGGTTCTTAATTCCATATCAGATAACAGGTTGATATTTATCTTTTTCTTTGCTTGATATCTTTGGGAAAGTAGATCTGCATTTTTATAAGAGTTCATGCGGGGAAAAAACAAGGTGTCCATAGTGGGACAGAGTGGAAGGGTGTGTTTCAGCCCAAGAGGAGAGTAAGCTGAGAGAATATTGGTACCATCAAATAGTAGACACCGTTTTGCAGAATTATACTAAAGAGTCATTAACTTGCAGACTGAACACTGTAATGATATCCTGTCCCCCAGAGTGCCCTAAAAACAAAAGCAGCCTTTGCATAATATAAACTGCACTTCCCTTCATTTTCAGGCCTGATTGTGCTCATATAGTTTGTTCCTCTCCATCTTCAGTAATCACACTTCTGTTCTCTCGGCGTTTGTCTTGATGATAAGGGCTTGTTCATGTCACACATGAACCCTCTCTTTTGAAGACAAGCCACTCATGAATCTCATACATCTGATTATGGTGATTACTCACCTGCCTTTGTCAACCTCATAGACTGCTATTATCTCAACTCCGCAGCCTAATAGAAACTCCCTAAAGAAAGTTAACCAGTACCTAGCTTGGATCTGCCTAAATTGCTAAAGCGAATGTTATAGTGACTATCCCTGAAGGTGTAGGCTCTGTGTTTTAGAGCAAAGAAGTCCTGTGACCTTAGCATGGGCTAAGGTCACAAGATTTTAAGAAAAAAGCAAACCTTCAGTTTTTGCTTAAAGGTATTTGTGTGTGTGTGTGTGTGTGTGTGTGTGTGTGTGTGTGTGTTTTCGTTTTATTTTCTTAAACCCTGTGTTTTAGGAAATTTCAAATATATCCAAATGTATAGATGGTATTGTGTACACTTACAAACTTGTGGTGATCTTGACTATTCATTTATTTATTTAGCCATTAGTGGATAAACCCATGTTTCCCCATGTGAAAATCAGATATTCTAACCACATAGCTATACTGCAGCCTCAGACTGCTTTATTTGTCCATGGTTTTTGTTATCTCATCCAGTTTAAAATTTTTTGCACACAAATCTTAGACATCATTTTATCCATCCATAAATATTTGAGTATACATCTTTAAAAGTAAGGGCTTTACATAAGTATTTATAGCAGTGTAACTGTAATAGTCCCAAATGGAAACAAGAGAGGTATCTTTCAGTGGTGGATGTTTAAACAGATTGTGGTACACTCTTCCCCTGGAAAGGTAGTCAGCAATCAAAAGAACCCAGCCAATGACACACTTAACAACCTGGGTGGATCACTGCACAGGTAAGCCCAGTGGAAAAGATAGCCTCCAAGTTTGCATAGTGAGTGAGTCCATTCTTTCTTTTTTATCTTTATTTCTTTCAAAATTTATTCATTCTTTCACAATTACACACACATACAAACACACACACAATTTTTTTTATCAAAATCACTCCCCATTATCCTTTATCTCCTTTGCCTTCCCACCAAATCTCTTCCTGTCGAGTTTGTTTCATGCTGTGTGTGTGTGTGTGCGCGCACGCGCGCTTGTGACTCACTACATTTAATTGGGATTTCTTGCATGGAAATGGGTTTGGGGGGGGCGTTGCTTGAGTAAAGTCAATCTACTGGGAAGTATGACCCCAACTCAGAAGCCATTGACTCTCTGTAGCTAGGCTGGGAGCCTCTCCCCATCAACAGCCATGTCGTATCTAGAAGTCAGAATTTCATAGCACTGCTTCCCTACTTTCCATCCTCTAGATCTAGACTCCTTCTGCTCCTCTTCTGTGGTGTTCACTTGAAGGGTGGATATGGCTGTTCAGTTTAGAGCAATACTCTCAACAGTTGCCTGTTTTCAGCACAATGACCAGTTATGAGCCTCTGCATTAACTGTTGCCCACTGCAAACAGAAGCTTCTTTGACCAAGGCTGAACACAGACTAATTTATATGTGTAAACATAATATGTTTTGGAGGTAGTTTGATGCCATGTCCATTTTCAATACAATAAAACTACTTTTATTTATTTATTTCAACTACTACAATAGTAGTAGGTTACCCTTTAGGAGCTATGTCCTCCACAACCATACAGTGAATGAACTTCTTCTGTTGTTGGCATGCCTAAAGTTCAAACAGAAAACAGCTGGTACCCTTGTGACTGCCTTCCACTATCGCAGCAGTGGATGTACCCTTCCTGACTGCTATTGTCCTTCACAGGAGTCAGCAGGACATGACTGCTGGTGCTTTTCCTCCCACAGCCGTCTGCATGAGGACAGACAACACTCAGCATCGAGGAACTTTCCAGCTCAGCTTCAGCCTGATTTCTCTCTAACTTGAAAGCAAAGTTGTATTGTCTTCAGCAGTAAGGTTTCCTTATCCAATTCTGGAGCTCAACCAAGAGGAAGAGCCAAGCTGTGTTGGTTCAAGGTCCTCTAGGGCCTACCCAAAAGTGCACAGAGGTCCCCCACACGTGGCGTGGAGTTTTAATAGCTTATAACTTGTAGCAACAGCAGCATCTAGCCA